TTTCTTTCGCCAAAAAAGTGTTTTTGAAAATCATCCAAAACCCAGAGAAGTAGACGTAAATGACATATTTTGTGACAATTTTTTTGAATTATTTTTGACAAATTTTTTGAATGTAATGAATTTAATCGCTGTTTCTCGATTTTTAAAAATCTTGTGTTTTTGATCAAATTTAGCGCTTTTTTGGCTAAATCTTTTGATTTTCTGCAGTATTTTGGACAAATATTTTCCATTTTGTTAGTTTTTCGGTAAAAAATAAAGCATTTTAGGCCTTACTTTTTCAATGTTCAAATCGTTCAGATTTTGTTAACTTCAATCAAAATCTAGAGAAAAGTTGACAATGTATTTTTCTGCAATATTTTAGATTTTTTTTTGATTTTACTGTACTTCTTGTCAAAGCACTAAAACAAGCAAAAAATAACACTTTTTAGATACAATTTTACGATTTTCTGTTATCTTTCGCCAAAAAAGTTTTTTTGGAAGTCATCCAAAACCCAGAGAAGTAGACGTAAATAATACATATATATTGTGATTGTTTTTTTTTATTTTTTTGCATTATTTTTGACAAATTTTTGAATTTAATGAGATCTTCAGTGAAAAACGCTCTAAATTTAGCGAAACAGATGAATGTCTTATAAAACATTTATTCCAGTTTTTTTCACTACTCTTATATTCTCTGTGTGGTCATTGGTTGCTGAGATATTGATGATCAAAAACAAGATGATTCTTTTTTCATTTAAAGTCAGATATCTCAGCGAAAAAATATTTGCCAAAAGATCTCAAAACTATTAACTTAAAGCTTCAAAATGTTTCTTTTTTTTATCCAGATACGACCATTTTTCGATGAGTTAGGAAAATTTTTTGTTCCTTTAATTTTTTGTAGTAGTATCCAATTTGGTGATTTTTTCATTTTCAGCTTTATTTTTTCACCGTTGAGTTCGGTTTGTGCAAGCAAGAGGGCGAAATGCGCGTTTACGGTGCTGGTCTCTTGAGTTCAGTGGCTGAACTTCGCCACGCTCTTAACACTCCTGAAAAAATAAAACGTTTCGATCCGGATGAAACGGTCAAACAGGAGTGCATAATCACGTCTTTTCAGCTCGGTTATTGGTACACTGATTCTTTCGAGGAAGCTAAGGAGAAAATGAGGTGATTTTGGACGTGGTATTTTTTTGTGTTATTTTCAGGCTTGTAGGACTTTTGCGGAACAAATTCAGCGGCCGTTTGGGCTGCGCTACAATCCGTATACTCAAAGTGTGGAAGTTTTGAGTAATGAACAGAAAATAACAGCCGTGGTCTCGGAATTACGCGGAGATTTGTGCATTGTAAACAGCGCTTTGAAGAAAATCAGCGCGAGACATGCCAATTTGAATGTTGATAAAATTGCCAATCTTTTGCAAACTGGACTTGCCACCTCAAATGGGGAAGACAATCAAAACTAAAAATATACCAAATTTGAATTGTAACATTTATGGACCAGATTATATGTTAAGTAGTCGTTGAAGTTAATAAATATTCATCATGAAATAATACTTGGCCTTCATTATTGAGTTGTGTAAATCCGACTTTAAAATTACAATTTTTTAGGGAGATATCTATCAAAAATGACAATTCTGAAAAAGTCGGGTTGGATTCGTAATTTTTTAAACTTGACCTATAACTTCAAAACTATTACGAATTTTGCACTTTTATTGACGTCAATCGATTTCCTGGAACATTTTACATATGTCTACATCAAAATATTATATCAGTGAAATGCAGTTTTTCCGCAATTTACAAAATAAAAAAAAAATTGTTAACACAACGGGTCATTATTGTGTTAAATTAATATTTCTCAACAGCATTATTTGTGATACAATTAAATATCTATTACTTCTATATAAAATCTATCAGTTGACTACGAAAAGTTGATTTTGTGACATTTTATTTAAAATTTTTTACTAAAATATTTTATTACTAATAAAACACACAATTATTATTAATTATTATTTATTAATATAAAATATACGATTCTTAGATTATTTTATCAACTAACTGAAATGAAAATTTTTGTAATCTTCAAAACTTATTTCTTAATAATCATTCACAAAACATAACAATTATTCTTAGACAAAAATCGTTAAATTAAGTAAACAATAAAACAC